TTTCGGGCCGGAGCTGAAGGAAGGGAGAGGAGGACGGGAAGGAGGAGGAGGGGGAGGAGGAGGAGGGCGGAGTGGGAGGAACAGGAAGATGCGGGAGGCGGCGGATGAAGAGGATGGGGAGGAGGAGGACGAGGGAGAGGAGGAGGAGGAGGAGGAGGAGGAGGAGGAGGATGAGGAGGAGGAGGAGGAGGGAGGTGCCCGCCCAGGTGGCGATGTTATCCGCGTATCCCCACGACGCCCATTTAACCGTAATATGTCCAAGGGGGAGGACGCGGACGAGGGGCAGGAGGAGGAGGAGGAGGAGGAGGAGGAGGAGGAGGAGGAGGAGGAGGAGGAGGAATGGGATCATCCAACAAAGCGTAGAGCAGGTTTTTCATCACGAGTTGTCTCTCTTGACAGGGTCCCGTGGCCCCGCGGGGGCCCCCAAGGGCCGAAAACTTTATCAACCATCCGCCTTGATTTTGCTTTATGTTTTGTTCGTATTCTTCGTCGTCGTCGTCGTCGTCGTCTTTCTCGTGCTCCGTTCGGGTCTCTGCTCGGGTCCATGGACCATGGGCGTCTTGGCTTCCGTCGCCTTCCGAGCGGCGGCCGCCGGGCGGCCTCCGAGCGGCGGCCGCCGGGCGGCCTCCGAGCGGCCATGGCGGGGGCCGCGGACGAGGAAGAGGACGAGGAGGAGGAGGAGGAGGAGGAGGAGGAGGAGGAGGAGGAGGAGGAGGAGGAGGGCGACGAGGGCAAGGACGAGGCCGCGGACGAGGGCGAGGAGGACGAGAAACTGCAGGGCCACGGCGGCGCCAGCGCGAGGAGATGGCCCAGCAGACGCGCCGCCCTCCTCCATCATTCATGTTTGTTTTCCTCCTCCTCCTCCTCCTCCTCCTCCTCCTCCTCCTCCTCCTCTTCCTTCCCTCCCTCCTTCGAGCTCTCCCACCTCCCCCTTGTGAGTGGCGTTCATTGTGCTCCCCGTCGTCGTCGTCGTCCTCCTCCTTTTCCCCCGTCCGCCTGATCTCGCTCCTCCTTCCCCCCGCTCGCCCAAGATATTCCTTCGCCCTGCTCCTGCTGCTGCTTACCCCCTTCCCCCTTTCACCCGCATCCTCTTCGCCTCGCCGTTGGACGGGGCGGGGTGGTCGCGAACCCCCGCGCGTTCAGGCGCGCATGGCCCGCGTCAACATGACGCAGGCTTTGCGCCCGGACGACGCGTTCGCCCTGCCGGCCGACGCGGGCGGCCTGGCGGCGGACGCGGAGCGCAAGTGGCGGGTCATGACGGCGGAGGCGATGCAACGCGTGTGTTTCGAGCAGGGGGGCGTCAGCTTGCACGGCCTGAAGGCGGGTGTTTTTCGGGGCAAGGGGGGCCCGTGCGAGGGGGGGCAGCAGCAGCAAGGGCGTTGGGCGAGGGAGCTGGAGGAGGGGGCGGGGCTGGAGGAGAGACGACGATGACGAGAAGGTGTAGAAGGAGGAGGGGGAGGAGGAGGAGGAGGAGGAGGAGGAGGAGGAGGAGGAGGAGGAGGAGGAAGAGGAGGAGGAGGAGGAGGAGGAGGAGGAGGAGGAGGAGGAGGAGGAGGAGGAGGAGGAGGAGGGGGAGGACGACCCCCCCACACACACACACACACTCGGAATTTATTCGAAAGAAGCAATTGTTAAAATCTGCTTCTTTTGAAAACCCGCTCGAGACTTCCTCGCAATGCACAGCCCTCCTCCTCTTCCTCCTCCTCCTCATGCGCCCCATCGCCCTTCCCTTCCGTACCTGCCGCGCCCCCAATGCCCCCGCCTTTCGATCCGCTGCCCCCCCCATTCCCAACGTGTGTCGGGCCGACTCTCCGTGCTCTCGCGCGCTGCACTTGCTGGAGTCTCCGCGCTTTCATGCTCCGAGTTCTCCGGCCCCGCCTCGCGCCTCCCGCCCCCCGCTGCCCCGTCGCCCCCGCAGGCGAGCCTCGGCGGTGGCCCGACGACGCACTTCCTGAATGTCCGGAAGGCCGTTGCCGAGGGAATCAGGGCGGGCCAGGACATAGGTCTCGACCGTCTGGCTGCCTCGCGGCCTGTCGCCTGTCTCGCGCGAAGGTTATCGGGCGAGACTGAAATGCTCCTCGAAACAGATTATGACCCTGAGCCGACCGAGTGCAGCATGTCCGCAGGATGCCTCCAAGCCCCGCCGGCGCGCGTCGTGTCTTCGCGTCGGCCTTCAGGGCCGCGTGGAGCCATCTTGGCCCGTTTTGGACCCCCCTGGAACCCCCCTCCTAGGGACCGCATGGAACCAGCTTGGCCCGTCTGGGTTCCGTATTGGCCGGAGTGGTGCGGACGCCTCAGCGCGCGCCCGCATTCGTCCATGCGCTTGGGCCCAAACGATGACGAGGCGGGGGGATCTTGCCAGGCTGGGAAGTTGTCTTGGGTCACCTGTGTCGTCGGGGCTGTGCGTCGCGAGGAGCTTGTCGCGAGCCCTGTTGCCATTGAGGACAAGACGGTGGAAAAAAGATGTCGGCCGCTTTTGAGAATGCGGCCACGAGGCTCAGCACGTCTGAACTACAGCATCTCGCCGATAAAGTCTGCTTGCTGTTGAATAGCGGTGACTGCGATGCCAGTGAGCTCCTCTCGAAGGGGACTTACGAGAGAGGGCGAGATGTTGGGAACGTTGTAGTGCGCAGGCCCGCTCCGTTCCACACCCGCCCGCCCACCGCCCCGGCCCTTTTCAATCTTGGGGCCCCGCGGTCGTCAGCGAGGTCGAGGGCGTCTATCTCGGGTAGTTGGGGTCAGGCTTGCGTGCGCCCTGGGAAGCTGGGGCCAGGAGTAAACGGCCCTTCGGGGTCAAGGATTGCCGCGGGCCGAAGGGGGGGGGGGGGGGGGGCGCTTGCACCACTAGCCCTCGGGGGCCTGCCCCAGACAGCACTGGGAAGGGGTAGGGCGGGGGCTGGGAAGGCACGCGGAGGGTTCAGGGCAGGGAGGTGGCCAGGGGGATCATGAGCAGGGGGCGAGAAGAATTGGGGGCGAGGTGGAGGGGGAGGGCGAGTGGAGGAGGTTGAAGAGGAGGAGGAGAATGTGGAGGACAAGCGGCAAGGGAACGAGGGGGGGGAGGAGGATGGGGAGGGGGGGGGGGGGGGGGGGGGGGGGCGCGGAGGAGGAGGGGTCGGAGGTCGAGGAACAGGAAGCGGGGGGGGGCGGAGGGGGCGGGGAAACGGAGGGCGGGGGGGGGGGGGATGAGAAGAGAAAGAAGAGCATGAAGATAGCGACATGGCATTCCTCGGGGGAAGGGGGGGGGGGGGCGGCCTCGCAACAAATCAACCTCAGAGGAAGAGATCAAACCGACGCAAGCATCAGTGGTATGCACTGCCGCCAGCGCGTTCCAGCATCTCACGCGAACCATTCGCGCTGCCGCAACGCCGCCCCCTGCGCCTCATGCGCGCGCAGCCGGCGGCCGCGGCGCCACCTGGCGCCCGCTGTGGCTCGCTGCTTACGAGGGCGGCAGCGAGGATGCTGGCGGGGCAGGGGCGTCTATGGCGTGGGCGCCAAGGTGCGTGGCGTGGGCCATGTATGAGCGCCGCTCTCGTTGCTCGGCGTTCGCGCGGCGGCGCCCTCTTCGCCGCCGACTCGCCGGCCCCCCAGAAGTCATCGCCCTCCCCCATCCCCCCGTTCCGCATCGCGCCGATGCTGGCGCTCGCCGCCGACCACGACGCGGCCGGGCGCTGGTGAACCGCAATGGCCGCTGGCCAGATCGGGGCATGAGCGCCCGTCAAGACATCTCGATCTCGATGGTTCACGCCCTGGAGGATGCGTGGGTCGACGAGCTCGAGCGCGAGACGTTCTGCAAACAGTTGGGGGACTGGGCGCCCGCGGAGTCCAGGCTGAACATGGCCCAGTTATTTATTGAGGCCCACGTGCACCCCTGCGGGGCCACATTGGCGCGCCACCGGTGGAGCTCAGCGCGGGAACTCCGCCATCCCGACCGACGCTTTTCCGAGGGCCTTCGACGGCCTCATGCGACGCATGCGGGGGGCACTGGCCCCCGCCAATTCACCGCGTGGCAACCGGCCGCTGGCGCAAGGGGCGGAGATATTCTGGGTCGCAAGCAGGTTCAGAGGGTTGAGGCCAACGATGACAGGGTCGTGATGGCTGGCCACGCGCTTTGGAGGGGCTGGTTGCCACGGCGGCGCACACGCGCGCTGGCGCGCGGTCGTTCGAGCGCGCGGTTCTCGGGTATTCTTCGCTGCGGCCAGTGAACGGGCCCTCCTCCTCCTCCCCCTGCTGCCGGCGCGCCCCCGCCTCCTTCTCCTCCTCCCCATCTTCCGCGCCCCCCTCTGTTCCGCGCGCGGCAGTTGCAGGTGCCCGCGAGCCGCCCCGCCGCCCATTCGCGGCCGGGGGCCGCCTGCTCGACGCAGCATCGCCATGCAACGGCGAGAAGTGGAAAGCAGCTGGGAATTCGTGCAAGTTTCGGCCGAGAGCTGGCTTGGCGCACGCCGCTTCGCTGGCGCTGCTTGGGACTCGGCGACGCCGCCGCGACAGCGAGCAGAGGGCGAGTTGCGCGGCTTCGCGCGGGGGCGAGCGGCCAGGGGTGCAAGGCCAAGGCGGCGGCGCAGACAAGGGCGCTGAACGCGGCGACTGGGCTGGAGTGGTCGAAATCATGTCTGACCAGTTGGCGCCGCCATTGAGGCCAGGCAGGTCAGCGGGCGCAACAGTCCGCGCGGCGTTGCATCGCCGAGCAGGGCCGCGGGCGCCGCAGCGGCCCAGCGTCGCGACGACAAGGGCGATTTCGGCGGTGTTCAAATTTTCTGGTCAGGGGGGCGCGAAGCCCGAGCGGTGAGATGTCGCGCTGCTGTGTCGCGCAGTGCCGACGCGCGCGCGGCGGCCCCGAGGCGCGCGCTGGCGGTCGGACGCTTCTTCCAGATACGGGGGGCTCAGGGCGGCATGGTCCGCCCCCTTGGTGGCTGGTCCACGGTGGAGGTCAGACGCGCGGTTTGCGGGCGGCAGCGTGCCGGGGCTGAGTGGCGCAGCGGGCGAGGGCGCGCGGGCCGCCGCAGCTGGAGCACGCCATTCTCTTCGCGGGGCCGTCCGGAGCGGGCGAGGGCAAACTGCTCCCCGCGGCGCTCGGCGAGGAGGACATCCTGCCCCGCGCGGGCGAAGACTCCGCGGTGACGGCCGGCCCCGCGCACTGGCGCTACAGCGAGGGAGCGCGCGGCGAGATGGTGCCGATGCGCCGCCCCGGCGCCCCCCCTGGCCCTCAGCCCTCCCATTGCCTTGGCGCCTGACTTCAGGCCCGAATCCAACGCGGCCCCCATGATGTCTTATACCGCAATGCACCCCCGCGTCCTCTACCGCGCGCGCAAAGCCTGACCTTGCCCATGGCCGAAGCCCTTATCCGATTGCCCTGCGCCATCATTGTACTTTCCACATCGCTACACTTCCCCCGCCCCCGTTCTCTTCGCGAATGTAGCCCTGCCTTCCCCGAGCCAAATGGGTTCGTAAGAGCGTTCGGGTGCTAGTTGACGCGGCCGCTCTGGGAGTAGCTTCACGCCCTTGCCCTGGCGGGTTGGTCTCATCCATGACGTGGGCATCCCGCAGTGCATGCGTGGGGTGTGCGTTTGGATGCGTCTCGCCCGCCTGATTTTAAAAATGCATCGGCTTGCCCGAATGTATGTGTGTATGATGTGTGTGTGTGTGTGTGTGTGTGTGTGTGTGTGTGTGTGTGTGTGTGTGTGTGTGTGTGTGTGTGTGTGTGTGTGTGTGTGTGTGTGTTCGTGTTTGCATATCAAAGTGAGCGGCCCCGAACGCCCCCTCCTCCTGCCCGCGCGCGCGGCCGTTGGAGGGCGCGGCTGCTGGGCGCAATGGGGGGGGCGACCCCCGACTTGGGGTCAGTGCGTGGGCAACGCGCAGGGGCCGTAGCTGGTGGCCAGCGCATGGGGGCCGTACTTGGGCGCAATACAGGGGGGGCTGGGGCGCGGGCGTCGGGGCGTGGGCGGGGGGGGGTGGACTGCAACTCTTCGGGCCAATATGGGAGGGAGGGGGGTGGGGGGGGGGGGGGGGGGGGGGGCATTTCGTGGGGGGCAATGCGCAGGGGCAATGAATGGCGGCAAGACACGGCGGGAACAATTGGGGGCAATGCAGGGTGCAATACTTGGGGGCAACGATATGCGGGGACAGTGCATGGGGGCAGTTCATGACATGAGGGCGCTCGCTCAGGGGTTTAGCATTTGCCGGCGGCGCCCGCATTAATGTCCGCACGTGCGGAGTGATACGTGCGCGTGCGCGCGCGCGTGCGCGCGCGCGTGCGCGCGCGTGCGCGTCTATGTCTTATGCCATTCCTCCGGCCCCCTGCTTGCGACAATCGTAGAAGTTATTTCGTGGTTTTGGAGTGTCTTGGATGCGTATGATGGATGGTTTTAGGGCATGGGTTTTCAGGGCGTCTTGGGGGCGCCCATGGGGTTTCTTGGGGTCCTCTTGGAAAAGACTGCGCAGCGGCTAATGTCTGAAAACGGTTTTTGAAAAGGGCGCCCCCCCTCCCCCCTCCCCCCCGTATCCCGATTGCCATTCGAAGCATTTGTTTACCTGTCCCCCTGGAACAAATCCGCGGACGCCGGTCGATGCCACTTGCGTGCGCCTCGGCACCGGGGGAAATGCAGATGGGGATGTTGCCGTCTTCAAATCAGAGAATGAACTTTTACATTGGCTTTCGCCATTGGGTTGTGGAGTTCAACCTCGCTCCCGTCGCGCGCAATATATCAGCGGCATGCCGCCGCCGCGCGTTGGCGATAGGCATTTGGGCGTTCAGCGTCGCATGTCCACATGGGGATGTTCCCGTCTTCCGGTCAGAGATTTTTTTTACGATGGGTCTTCGCCGTTGGGTTTTGGAGTTCAACCTCGCCCCCGCTGCACATTATTCTTATGTATATATAATTCAGTCATGAATATATATATATATATATATATGATATGATATCTATATATATATATGTATATATATATATATATATAAATATATGTATAAATCAGCGGCGTGCCGCCGCCGCGCGTTGGCGATTGGCACGCGTGGAGTCAGTGTGCATATCCACATTGAGATGCCCCCGTCTTCCTATCCGAGAATGAATTTTTACATTGGGTTTTCGCCATTGGGTTTTGGAGTTCAACATGGCTCCCGCTATATAGAAATCGACCAACGGCACGCTGCTGCCGCGCGCGCGCGCTCGCGCGCGCGTTGGCCATTGGCATTCGCGCATTCTGCGTTGCATATCCACATGGCGATGTTCCCGTCTTCCGATCCGAGAATGCATTTTTACATTAGGTTTTCGCCGTGGGGTTTGAGAGTTCAACATCGCTCCCGGCGCGTCAAATCTATCAGCGGCATGCCGCCGCCGCGCGCGCAGGCGAATGGCATTTTCCCATTCCGCGTTGCATATCCACATTGTGATGCCCCCGTCTTCCGGCCAGAGAATGATTTTTTACATTGGGTTTGCGCCGTTGGGTTTTGGAGGTAAACATCGCCCCCGTTGTATAAAACCCATCCGCGGCATGCCGCCGCGCGCGCGCGCTGATGACTGGCATGTGTGCATTCAGTGTGGTGTATCCACTTTCGGATGTCCCCGTCTCCCGATCCGAGAATGATTTTTTACATTGGGTTTTCGCCATTGGGTTCTGGAGATAAACACCGCCCCCGTTAAATTAAAATCTGCCAGCGGCATGTCGCAGCCACGCGCGCGCGAGATTTCGCCCTGTTGCGTAATATCTATCAGCGGCATGCTGCCGCCCAGCGCGCGCGACATTTTTGCGCGCCGCGTTGCATAGCAAGATGGGGATGATGTCCCCGTCTTCCGATCCGAGCATGCATTTTTACATTGGGTGTTCGCCATTGGGTTTTGGGGATAAACATCGCCCCCGTTGTATAAAACCTATCAGCGGCATGCCGCCGCCGCGCGCGCGTTGGCCATTGGCGCGCGTGCGTTCAGTGTCGCATATCCACATTGAGATGTCCCCGTCTTCCGATCCGAGAATGCATTTTTACATTGGGTTTTCGCCATTGGGCTTTGGAGTTCAACATGGCTCCTGTTGTATAAAACTTGATCAGCGGCATGCCGTCGCGCGCGCGTTGGCCCTCGGCATTTTCGCATTCAGTGCCGCATATCCACATTGGGATGTTCCCGTCTTCCGATCAGAGAATGAATATTTACATCTGGTTTTCGCCATTGGGTTTTGGAGTCAAACATCGCCCATGTTGTAATAAGTCTACCCGCGGCGTGCCGCATCTGCGCATTCAGCGCCGCTTCGCAATCCAGACAGCGCGCGCGGTGCTCAGGGGGCGGTCCGCGAGCGCAGTCTCTATCCACGCTGGGAACGCACGGCGTGGCAGGCGTTGCCTGGCGCCAAGAGGGTGTGCGCAGGAACCAGCCCCTGCGCGCAGGGCGCCAGGGCGGTCGCGGGGGCGTCTCCATCGATCCAGTTTGCCACGCCCCCCTTTTGTTTTCTATGGGCGCGCTGCAGCGCTGGGGAAAACCACGTTTTGACTGCCCCCCCCAAAGCATTCTTTTAACGATTTTTTGACATTGCACGGGCTGCGCAGGTCCTCGTGCCAGGGGTCCTGCCAGGTCAGCTCCTCCCCCTCCTCCTCCTCCGTCCTTGCCCCCCCCCTTCCGCTTCTTCCTTCTCCTCCTCCACAACCCTTCTCCCCTCCCGCTTCATCCCCCCCCCCCCCCCCTTCCCGCCCCCCCCGCCCCGGTTTGCCCCCGCTCGCCGCCCCCCTTCACCGCGCCCCCTTCCATCGCCCCTGGGCCCCATCCCACGATATCTTCCCATCTTCCACTCGCCCCCCGCGTTTCCTCCCGCAGTTCCACCCCCCGCTGCCCCTGTGAGTCCCTTCCCTGCCTACTTTCCAGCGCCCAACGCATTCCTTCCGTTCCCCGCATTCTGCCGCGCGCTGTTTCGCGCGCGCCGCCGCCGCGGCGCCATCGCTGGCCCCGGCGCCTCGATGGGGTTCGCGGGTGGGCGCGGGTAGTGATGAGCAGGGGCGGTTGTGGCAGCAGGGGGCGCGTTTGGGGCGGCAGTGTCTGGGGGCGTCGGTCCTCTGGCAATCGCGGGGCGTCGGGCAGGGGCAGGGGGGCCGAGCGCGAGGCCGTGGCAAGGGGCAGGGCCGTCATAGGGATAGGCTGCATGGGTGCGGGACTTGGCTTAGGCACGGGCTTGTGCGTTAGTGCATAGCGGCGCGGCGCGACGGATATCGGACAGGGGGCGCGGGGCGCAGATTGAGGAGACATTGCTCGGGGCACGGGGCGACCTTTCATGGGGCGTTGCCTTTCTGATGATCCGATTGGTTGTTCATGCCCCTCTCGTTCTCTTTCCTCCCTATCTTCGCCCTCGTCGCGGGCCTCCCCGCCCCCTGATCATCGCTTTCCCGTGCTCGCCCTTCTCGCCTGCATGGCCCCCCCCCCCCCCCCCTCGTAGCTCTCGCGTGTCTCAGCTGTCAGCGTCCTCCTCCTGCCCCGCCTCTGTTTCGTTCTTCCCACTTCTCCTCGCTCCCCCTCGCCCCCCCCCGCCCCGCCTGTCCTCGCGCGTCGGGCGGGGCAGGTGGGGCGCGTGGCCGTGGATGGGGCCGCGCGCGTGGAGACGCGCTGCCCGCTGGTGGCGAGGCCCCTCCTGCTGGTGGCGAGGCCCTTCCTGCCGGGGCCGCCGGCGCAGGGCCCGCGCCCGCGCCGCGCCCGCTTGGGCCTGCAGGCGAGGAGGGGGATAATGGGGAGGAGGAGGAAGAGGATGAGGAGGAGGGAGGCAATGAGCCAGATCATGGCATTGCTGGGGACCCCGAGCCACAAGCGGCCCCCGACCAAAAAATCTTCGTGGAGGGTGGCAATCGGCATCAGGGATTCTGGCGAGCCAAAGCCGACACCGTTACCGCCGATGCCGATACCAGGCCAGGACCCCCCAGCTCAGCCAGCTGGCGGAGAGGGCGAGGGGGGGGATGAGCCCGCCCCTGGGGCCGCAGCATATGATAACGTCTTGGCAGCGAGTGACGGTTGGATTCGCAGTCTTGAGGGGGGTGCCTCGGTCGCGCATGGAGTGAAGTGCCAGGCAGGTGGATCGCGATGTGCGTTCGCCATGACTCATGCGCATGCACCGCGGAGTTAGATCTGTCGGCGCCCCCGGAAGCGGCCATGGCCGACCCGGTCGAGGCGCTGAGGCAGTGGGTGAGGCGGGGGCCCGACTTCACGACAACCCAGGAACCCAGGCCCATCTTGGGGATTGGCATCGCGTTGCCCCGAATCCAAACCCTGCAAAGGCCAGCGCCAAACGTCGCAAGAAGCTGCGCGTCGATGGCGAGCCTGTGGCACCATGGGACAGTTACCCCGTATTCGATGAGTCCAACACGTACGTGGGCTCGCTCGTATATGATGCGTCAGCCGATAGTTATGGGGCACATTGTATAGGACGATGCCATGGTTTGTGCCGTGCGAACCACGTTTTGAAGCGGTTCCCAATGGGGTACCTCGTGGCCTGGTTGTTCGAAGGCAAAGCCCTCGACGGTCATGAGGGCGCGGTTCGCCACAGAAGCTTGCGAGGTAGGATTCCCAGACCAGCTCGTCGACGCGCCAGGGACTTGGCCAAGACGCAGCCCGCCCCGGCACCCTGTTTCGAGGTGGGGCGCGCCCACCGCCGCACTGAGGAGGGCTCCTCAGAGCCAGGCGCGAATTGAGTTGCCTGTGCGGGACGGCGCCCGCTCTTCTTATCGTCTGCCAGTTGTCTCACCGTTCCCCTTGCCGGCAGGTGCGCGGCTCGGTGCTCTGATCGGTGCGGGTGGAGATCTTCGGAGCGCCGCCCGCATCGGTTAGCAGGGTCTCTCGCACTCGCTCATAACCTCCGCCGGATCTTCTGTGGTTGCCAGGTTTCTTTGGGTCTTGCATCCATCGGTTCGCCGTCCGATGGCCAACCACATTTCCATTGTGACGCGTGGCAAGCTGCGTCGGTCTGCGCGGTGATTGGCACGCGAGGTACTTCTCAGCATATATCATCTTAGGTTTGGCATGGTGCACGCATGTACGTGTATGATATTTGTCATCGTTATAAGGTTAATGATGATTTGTTTTAAGACGCGTGTGGTTACATTTCAAATTACATGAACAAATTAATCCATCGTTCAATAATTAAAAACATACAACTTACAGCGTTCATAAATATTTCAAAAAATCAGAACCCGACGCGATAGAGTCGGCTCGGGTTCGTTTCTTATAGAAATATTTTATGTGGTTTCGGGGGCCCGACTCGATCGAGTAGGATTGTCATTTTCGTGTTGTGTTGTTGTTTTTTGTTTTTGTTTTTTGTTTTACAGAAACTACATGGTGAAAACAAAGCGTTTTTTTTTTATTTTTTTTTTTTTTTTTTTTTTATTATATCGTTTCTGTCACTTCCGATTGAAACTTGTATTCTTTTTTTCTGATGAAGCGCTATTGTATTGGAAGTTGGGGTGCCTGTTTGTTCCAATGCGCATTGATGCGAATGTGTCCTGAATCAAGTTATACGCAGTGCATTGTGCATCACGTGGCATCTTTCGCCATGGGGCAGTAACCCTTGCATCATTGCGTCTTCATGTCCTGCGGGCCTCGCACTGCCCACGCGTTTCAGAACAGCTCGCTCCAAGCAGTGGCTCTCGGTTTCCGCCCCCGCGCCCCTAGTCCTCGTCAACGTCCTCCGTTCCCCAGCTGATCCCGTGCTCCTTCTCCCCCATTCTCCTCCTCTTCGTTGTGTTCTGTGTCTGTCTCCTGCTCCTCCTCCGCCGCGTGCTCCCCCTCGCCCTCGCAGGGCCCCCCCTCGGGCGGCCTGGGGGCAGGGGGTCCGAGAAGTTTCTGGCTGGAGCCCTGCCGTAGTCAGCCGCCCAGCACTGCAACGCTCCGCCTCGCTAGCTCGTGGCGAGCTCGGCCGGCCAGCCATGTCCGAGAGGTCGCGTTCGAAGAAGTGCAAGGGGTGTTGCATGTGCAAGGCGCTGTCCACGGATGCGTCGCCTATCCCCCCAGAGTACAGGCCCCTCGTTCCGCCTCGCGACATCGAACCGTGGCAGGGGTTGCGCCGTGGAGGGGCCGCGGCACCAAGGAGGTTGCCCTAGCGCTCAAGCGCCCCGCCCACGCCCCGCAGGTGTCTTCTTCAGGGGTCGGGGGGTTCGCGAGGGGGCCCCGGTGTCGGCCGCCTAGCTGCGACTCGCGCCAGGGGCGCGACTGGGTCACCCGCAGTCGTTTGCTTCGGGGGCCCTAAGGTTGGTCACGGTGACTCCTGGCTTTTTATGTTTGCGCCCGTGGGGGCGCTCCTGATCGACGGGGGCGAGGTGCAGGTTGTCGTCGCATACGCGGCGTCGGGGAAGTTGTGCGTCTTATGCTTCTACGTTTTCCGCTTGACTGGCCTGAATCCTGAGCGCGAGTCCGCGGCGGCATATCTGGAACAGGTCACGGGGCAAAAAGAAAGAGAATCGTCATGATGCTTCATCGAGGGGGCAAGCCTCTTTCACCCAGTCGGTCAACAAGGGCGAGAAAGGCGAGGTCAGCCTCAGGGGCGCCGTGAGGGCGGCTTACACCTCGGTGAGCATCGAGAACACATCCGGCACGAGGCTCATCGTTCCGCAGGATCCGAGACTGAACGGAGCAGCATCATATGCAGTATGCAGCATGAGGGATGGATGAGGAGGGTACGAATGAGGGCGGCGACGATGGCGACGACGATGACGATGAGGGGGCCGATGATGACGAGGGGGGGGAGGAGGAGGGTTGTACGTTGCAGAGAAGTCTCGGGCGGGTTTTCAAAACTAGCAGACTTTAACCATTGTTTCTTTTGCATAGATTCCGAGTGGGGGGGGGGTGTCGCGAAGATCTCTGACATGGCCTCTCTACCCTCTCCCACCTCATGGCTCCCCCCGTCGTCCGCGTCGTGCTCGCCGTCGCAATCCCGCTCTGATATGCTCTTGCTCGTGCTCCTGCCCGTCTTGCTCCTTCGGCCGGTCGCGTCGGCTCGCGGTCGATGGGCCTCCGCCCCGCCCTCTTGCCCGAGCGGCGCGCGGCGCCCCGGGAATTCATCTTCGCCGAGCAGTGCGAGGAGGAAATCGGGCCAGTCCCCGAGGACAAGATTATCCCCTCCTCGTCTGCCTCGCCCTCTTGCTCCCTTTCCTGCTCCGCCCCCTGCTCCGCCTCCCCCCCCTCCTCCGCCCCCCCTTCCTGGTCCGCCCCCCCCCCCCCATCCCCCCCCTGCTGTCTCCTCCTCCTCTCCTCCTCCCCCCTCTTCCTCTCCTCCTCCCCTCTCCCCCCCTCCTCCCTCCGACCTCCGCCTCCTCCTGGGCTGTCTCCGCCTCTCCCTGCTCCGCCGGCCCCTGCAGCGCAGGCGCAGGGGTCGCGCGCGCCTCCCCCTGCTCCTCCAAGGGCCCAAGGTACCCTATGGAACCGAACACACCGCGCCGCGAGGGCCTCCCCGCGCCGCGCGAGAGCCCCGCAGAAGGCCCCCCCAGAAAGCACGACAAAAACACGCAAAACGAAACGCAAGAGGGCCTCAAGATCAAGATCCCGTTCGTTTGGTTGGCGCTTTTTTTTTTTTTTTTTTTTTGTTCTGGGCTCTCTTGGGGCCCTCAAGGGCATTTGTCGGCGCCCCCCCGGGGCCCCCTCGGAGCCCCCTCGGGGCCTGGGGGGCCCCAGGGATGCACCCGGGGGGCCTCGATGGGGGCTCCGAGACGACCCCCGGGGCGCTCCGAGATCAGCGCGGCAATTCTGTGGATGGTTTCGCATGCGTCTGCCTCTTGCATTGTCTGAACCCAGGCCCTGTCACTGTCTGTCTAGGGAGGGGTGGGTGGCCGTGGCGAAGGCGGGGCGTTTGTTCGTCGCCCCCCCCCTCCTCTTCCTCCTCCGACTCCATCAGCCGAAGGTGGTGGCGGTCAATCTCCCCCGCGGGAAGGCGCAGACGGGGATGTGTGTCGACGAGAAGACCAGAGGACCTGGCATATAGACGCCCGCGACGCCCCCCCCTCTACTCCTTCGCCCCGTGTAGGAGTGATGGGGATCCGTGCGCGGGGTGGGCGGGTGGGCGGGCGGGGTGGGGCGGGGGCGGCGGCGGTGGCGGTGGCGGTGGTGGCGGCGGCGGCGGTGGTGGTGGTGGGGGGGGGGGGGGGCAGCCGTGCCCGCGCATATCTCTGGCCCACCCCGAAGGTGGGGCGCTTGGACGTGGAGAGATGCGCGGGCGTCGGCGCGAGGTCGTCGCAGGTCGTGGACGACGGCTCCGCGCAGGTATCGGAAGGTCAGGCGCAGCGCATGCATGCTGCTCTGGCCAAGGAGCTCACGAAGGGTACGCCCATGTCGGCGGCCGCGCTCATGAAGGCCATCCAGACCAAGAAGGACGCCGACGAGTCGAATGGGAAGAAGCGCGAGAAGGAGCAGAGGAAGGAGACGGGCGAGGCGGGCGACAGCGACGGTTCCGATTGCGAGCAGGAGGAGTCCGAGGAGGATGCGCCTACGAGCGACGCTTCGGAGGAGGAGACTGTCGGCGTGGGCGGCGTCTCGGGTATCTTGAGCTTTTTGGGGCTCCAGAAGGCGGCGGCCGCCCGGTCTGCGCGGCCGGGAACGTCGTCGGCATCAGGCGCGGCGCCGACAGGACCTGCCGCCTCCAGGGCGGGCGTGGCAGCCATCAGGCAGAGGGCGTCGAGGACGCAGACAACGCCGCCCTCGACTGAGGAGGCGGGCGGGCGCAGCGAGGGCCGGGAGGCGTTGAAGGCCGAGGAGGGGGGGCCCGAGGCAGGAGGGCCGTTTCTGAAGAGGCGCCCTGGGGGGCCGCCCCCCTCGGACTTCGGCAAGCTGGGGGCCAGAGACATGCAAGCGACCTTCTTGAGATCCATCGAGGATAAGGGGGCGGCTCTCACCGAGCTGGAGAAATGCGCCACGGAGTTCGGCGCCGTGATGGAGAAGGCGTTTGATACCCCTGATTGGGAGGTCACCGATATGCAGTCCATGAAGAAGAAGTTCAAGGATCTCACCACCGTCTCCGCCAGCTACCACACGGCGCACAGAAAGGCTGGTAGCGTGGCGAAGTTCCTGGCCACCAGGTCTGGCTTCAAGGCCGAGTGCCCCAGGTTTGACGAAGTCGCGAAGATGAACGCTGCCCTGGCAGAGGTATGCAAGCAAATGACGTTGGAGCGCCCGAGGCTGAGACATTTCCAAGCCTCGTTTGAAGGCTTGCGCTCCAGTGGCATGAGCGTCCCTGGCGAATGCATCATCGGGGAGCTCACCTGCCAGATCCACGAGGCCGTGGCCTTCCAGAGGTGCGACGCCATCATGGGCTTCTTCGCGAAGGAAGGGCATTATTTCAAGATGATGGCGGATTCTACGGCTGGCGGACATGCACTGGCGGTCATGTCCCAAACGTCCGCGGTCCATGGGGGAGGGGATTATCGCGCGGTTGCGCCAGGCGGTGACAGCGCCCGACTTGGGGGGCCAGGGGCGGAGTTCCAGGAAGGTCCAGGACTTCCTGCAGGCTGTTTGCGATGCCGAGGCTCCTTGCCCCCGCCACATGTTGGGGCCGCAGGCTTCGGCCATCGTGGTTTTTGTGGCGCGCTGGCGTCGGCGTCCTCGAGGAGCTCGAGGCAGCTTTCACGAGGCGCGAGCAAGCGAAGCAGGCAGTCGCGCAGGGGGGCTCGAAGATCACGTTCGCCTGCTTGGACATGCTCGAGCAGCAGGGGGTTTTGAAATTCTCGACGCTTCGCGCGCCCCCGCCGGCCTATCCAGGACCGACGCCCCGGCGAGGTGAGGTGGCCAGGGAGATGCGGAGGCAAGGTTGGGGGCGGCCGAACCGATCGCAGGAGGGGAAGGACGATAAGGGGGGGGATGGATGGATGGGAGGAGGAGGAGGGAGAAGTGGGATGATGGCGATGATGATGACGAGGGGGAGGAGGAGGAGGAGGAGGAGGAGGAGGAGGAGGAGGAGGCGGAGGAGGGGGGGGAGGGAGGAGGAGGAGGGGAGGGGGGGGGGAGGGGGAGGTAGGAAGACGAGGTGAGAGCAGAGGGCAGGAGGCCCCTCGAGGGGTTCTAAAGTACTTTATGGGGGGAAGGCCCTCAACGGACGAACTGGTTCCCAGTTCCTGTCCTGAGGGGCCCTCTTGGGGCCCCAAGAGGCTCGGTAGGCTTTGTTTATATATAAAAAAATTGGCTTGCCCCCCTTCAAGAGGGCCCCAAGAAGGCTCCAAGAGGGCCCCCAGAGCGCTCCAAGAGGGCTCAAAGATGGTTCCACGAGCGATCCATCTCGGGCCCCCCTGGAGCCGGCTTGGGGGCCCTGTTGGGAGCTTCTGAAGGGTTTAGGGGGGGCCCGAGAGGGCCCCGAGACGGCTCGTGGGCCCTCTGGGCCCCCTCTTGGGGCCCCTCTCTGGGCCTGCGAGGGCCCTCCTGGTCCCCCCTCGGGGCCCCCGGGCTCTCCTGGGGCGGGGCCCTCTTGTGGCATTGTTGTTTCTCCTTTGGATTATCGGGGGCATCCTCGGGGAGCTCTTGAGCCACTTGGAGCCTCCTTGGGGAGGTTCTGGCTCTCGGAACACGTTGGGGCCCGACGCGGGGCATCCTGGGCAATCGGGGGAGGTGTAAACCCCTATCCCCGAACAGGAAGAAGAGGGACGGGGGAAAACAAAACGATCTAGACCACTTACGCCCAGAGAACTGGTAGGATTCATTCTCGACTGCGCCGTCGGTTGCAAGGACTTGAAAGCGAAAGATGAGGAGGCCATTGGCACCCTCAAGGAGGATGTCGATGTCGTCTCGAGTCTCGACGTGAGCACGGAGCGGATGAAGACTGACTCGGAAGGCTTCTTGCACACCGTGTCAGAGGCTGTTCTGGAAACGCACAGGGACATATTAACCCACCGTGACCTTCCGCCGCCCCTGCGCCCGCCTGCGTGTCGAGGTCCCGTTGGCGGTGCCGGAGCGAGCGGAAGTTGGTTGCGAGGCGGATGTGTCTCCCGAATTCTGGACAGGTTGAGAAGCGGGCGACGAGGTGCGAGCGGGCGAAGAAGTGTGACGCGGGGCTGATCGATACGCTGAAGGCGACTTGCGCGGAGAAGTGCGCGGGCGCAGCCATCAGTGCCATTGCCGTCTCGATGGAGTTGGCGCTGGGCGAGTCCCTGGGCATCGCCAACGTCCGCGAGGGCAGCCGGGCCGTGGATGTCAAGCGAGCCTTGATTGCGCCTCATTGGGATTTTCAGCAGTCGTCTCCGACCATTCCTGGCGTGGCCGAACACGAAACCCATCGCGGCAGAATTCCTGGACATGGGCGCCTGGGTGCCGGACGTGTGCGCTGAGATCAGCGCTCGCATGACTCGCTCGGAGGGTGCGCCATCGGCGTTGCCGGAGCATGCTTGCGACAAGTTGGCTGAGCTGGAGACCGCCTCCTGGGCAGGGCTTGGCTTTGGCGACACATTGATCACCCGCTTCGAGCAGGAAGTCGCAGGGCCGATTCAAGCCGCCCGCGTTGACGATTTGGGCCGCTACATGGGCGAGTTTGAGACCTTGTTCTTCTCTGTTGCCCAGATCGTGCACGAGCCCATTGTGCTGGAGGGCGGGATTGAGGGGGCGGTTCGTCGCCTCGCCGGCCTCGCCGAGAACTCGAGCCGCCGCGGCCAGGCCAAATCGTCGATTGGGGCGGCGCAGCGGGTGCTCGACAACATGCCCGTCCTCGCGAAGGTCCGCGCCGATGATCGGCTCTCCGAGTCCGAGTTGAAGAAGCTCGACGGCATCTTGGAGGCCGTGAACAATATCACCGAGAGATTCGACGTCGATAGGGTTGGAGGCGGCTGCCGGGGGGCACTCCTTTCGGAATCTATTCAAAAGAAGCAATGATTACAATCTGCTTCTTTCGAAAACCCGCTCGAGACTTCCTCGCAATGTGCAACCTTCCTCCTCCCCCCTCCTCTTCCTCCCCCCCCTCCTCCTCCTCCTCCTCCACCCCCCCCTCCTCCTCCTCCTCTTCCTCCGTGGCCCGAATCGCCCGACGGACCCGAGTGGCCCGAATGCAGGGCTATCCGCGCCTTCCCCCCGCCGCGCCCCCCCCCCGCGAGGGCCCCGAGTGGGCCCCGCATTTGGCCGGGCCTTGAGGGGCCGCCTCCAGAGCAAAGTTCCGAAGGGGCCCCCGAGAGCGCCCCAAGGGAGCCTGAGGAGGGCCCCGAGAGTGCCCGAGATGGCCCCGGCAGGTCCCAATGAGCCCCCCGGAAGTGTCGTTTGAGAGGGCCCCCGAAAGACAGTTCTCAAGAGGGAACCGAGGGGGGCCCATGAGTCACGAGGGCCCCATGGGGGCCTACGCGGGCCCCGCGCGGGCCCCTGGGGCGCCGGGGATGCTGGGGCCCATGTTAGGCCATCTTCGGCTATGCTAGCCAGGGCACCCTGCGACCGACTGGAGCTTATACTGGGCTATCTTGGAGGTCATGCGGGTTAAATCCGCCAGGCGGGTTCACGCGGCTCTCGGGCTTCCTCGATCCTATGTTCGACCTCCCGGTGGTGCGGCTGCTGCAGCTCCATCTCCCTTATGGCGCCCAGGCATCTCCGCGGCCAAGGTGGAGGCGGCGACGCAGGGCAAGATGCGCGAATGCTTGCAGAAGGTCGAGGCCGTTTCCAAGGACGCCAGCGATATCTTCGACAAGTGCCCCGATCCAGAGAGTGGTGCACGGCCTTTCCACGAGGCCGCTCTCGACAAGACGATCGGGGTTGAAGTCATTGCGAAGTCCATTATTCCCAAGTTCGAGAAAGGCACGGCGGCTGCGAAGCGCGCGCTGGTGTTCGAGACGAATGCAGAGAAGGGGGATCTCGCATCATCTGTGCTTGCGACGTCGGGCGGACTCGCTCGCAGGCTCAAGGCGACCGTCGGTTTGCACGCCCTCCTGGTCACCATCGATGAGTGCGAGGAGATGGGCCGCGCCGATGGGTTGAAGGAGTGCGTGGATTCCATGGAGGCGGAGGGTCTGGAGATTCCCGCGAGCATCAACGCAAGGACCGCGAAGCTGATGAAGGCTCGCAGGCGCCGCGCTCCCAACGACAAGAACACGGCCGAGGACAGCGGCGAGGCCGAGGCTACCAGGGCGCCCCAGCCGAAGAAGAAGGCCAAGCAGTCGTGAGGGGAGGGGGGGGGGTTCGGCCAGCAGCAGGGGCTCAGCCGGCGGTCGTCTGCGACCCAGGTTTGAATTATCCAGACTTCGTCTGTTCCGAGGGTATTGGTTGTTGGCAGGGGTGGGCTTAGGGCTCCAGGACGATGAGGGAGGTCGGAGTTCGAACCGTCCGTGTTTGGCGCGCTCGTCTCGCTCGCAGCCTTGCGCTTGCCGGGCCAGCGGATCTGGGCACGGGGGCAGGCGTATTTTCGCTGCGGCCCTGAGTCACGAGTGCTGGCGAGGCGCCGCGGCCTTGCTGCTGTCGGGGCACGCCGGCAGGCCGTCGCGCGCCCGGGCGCACGGGGGGCTCGGAAAAAAGAAAGAGAGGTCGGAGAACGCGGTTGGCCTCTCGCCCGACGCGTCGCCCCGCCAGCGGGCCCCGGGCAAGGGGCGCAGGGTCGGTGGCCCAGGGTCGAGGTCGCGCAGGGTACGGCGACCCAGAGCATGAGTGACAAGTGTGTTCGTAGGTAGTTTGCCTGGGCCATCCGCTCTTGGCCCTTGCTCCTCGCTTCGCCCGTTGCCCATCCTCCACTTGCGTGTCGCCATCCCCCTCCTGGGCCTGGTCTTCCATCCTGATCCTCCATCGCCCCCCCCCCCCCTCTCCATCAGCTCCTCCCACCCCTGGGACCCCTTATGCTGCTGCTCTTCCTCCTCTCGCGCCCACGCGCTGGGGGGGGGGGGGGGGGGGGGGGGGGAGGGGGGCGGGGGCGGCGGGCGGGCGAGGCGTAGGGCAAAGAGGTGGAGGATTCAGGAGGACGGAGGATTGAAGTGGATCAGGGCCTGGGCCCGCAATTGGTTGGGCTGCCTTTGCTTCCGCAGGTGTCGGAGTTGCGCAGCAAGGCGCAGGCTTCGCCCCCCCTGCTGGATCTCCTCGGTCGCTGATCTCTGGCCTGTGCGGGGGGCGTTTAGGCTTCGCTCTGATTGGCAACCGTGGGTCGTCTAGGGGTCGGGGCCTCTTCGCGCCTCAATTGTTGTCGGGCCGACGTGGGCAGGGGCCAGCGACGCCGACGTGGAAGGGTGGAGTGGGATTCGGCGCGGCGCGGGGGGGAGGTGGAGGAGGGCGGAGGGCGGGGATGGGTGGGGATGGGTGGGATGGGCGGGGGGGAGGAGGGCAGGAAGGGGGGGGGTGGGGGGGGTGTTCACACACATCTGGGGGAAGGGGTGGGTGGAGGAGGAGAAAGAGAAGGAGGAGTTGGAGAAGGAGGATGGCGACAACGAGGAGTGGAGGAGGGCACAGGATGGGGCAATGGTGGCGATGCGGAGGAGGAGCCAGGAGGTAAGAGCAGGTATTGGAGCATTATGGCGAATTCCCATCGAGGTTAGCTTCTTTCGAGATTGGGGTGTCTACCGAAATGCCAAGGCCTGCGCCTCATGCTCCTCCTCTCCCCCTCCTTCCTCCTCGCCCTCTTCTTCTCCCCGCTCGTGGCCGTGCCAATGATTCGAGTGGCGTTTTTTTTTCCTGCCGGCGCAACGGCGCCCCTCGACCCCGGGCACTTCCCGCGGGCAGCGATGAGGAGGCCCGCAGCCAACGGCGCTGCAGACGCGCCCCCTGCGGCCTCGCCCCCTAAGACCGCTCGGTCCAGGCGGGCCCCCCGCAGACCCGACGCGCCCTGGGCCGGGTCTGCCGCGGCCTCTGCTGACGGCGCCGCTAGCTCGACTGAGCGAGTGGAAGCAGTTGACCAGGAAGTGCTGGGCGGTAGCAATAGCGACGACGACCCCCTCGTAGCCCCCGGGGTGCCTGAGCTTAAGCCGGAGGCGTTTGAGGAGAAGGACTTGGCGTCGCGCGTGAGAGATGGCACCCTCCTGGACTACGTCGCATCTCAGTTCGTCGACCAGCTCCCGGATGACGAGGCCACCTCGCTCAAGGAGGCAGTGTCTTTCGCGACCGCCAAGCGCAAGGTTGCTGCGATGTCATTATGCACGGGCTCGGCGATGGACTTCCACAGCATCCACGCAGCGAAGCAGGCTCTCCAGCGAGCGGGCACCCTCAACAGTCACGCGGCCAAGATGTTCTTCCCCCGCGGCCTCGCGGCGGAGAAGGGCCCGAAGAAACGGGGCTGGATCCGAGCTGTCCCCGAGAAGCACGGCGCTGAGGATTGTTGCATTCGCTTCGACGTCAAGGACTGCAGCCCCCCCCAGGCGAAATGCCACCGCGCAGCGGATCCTGAGGCTTCGGGGGCCGCGGTCACGGCAGCGCCGTGGCCCTCTGCCCATTCGCCCCCCTGCCCCGCCAAACGCATCCAATGCGCGCGCACATCCCCAGAGATGGGGGATCGGGGAGAGTCGGGGGCGGGGGAGGAGGAGGGGGGGCTTATACACCCTTGCGAAGGCATGGAGGAGGAAGTGCAGGGGGAGTAGGAGGAGGGGGGGGTGAGGTCGATTAGCGTTTGAAAACGTTTGAGAAATGATGACCCCCCCGCGCCCCCGGATCCCGCCTGCCATTAATTCGCATCCGAATAACTATTCATATCTGCCCCCTCGGAAAATTTCCACGGGTGCCGATCGATGCCGCTTGTCTACACCTCGGCGCCAGGGAGAATGCCGATGGGGATTTGTTACATTGGGTTTTCGCCGTTGGCCCTGGAGTTCAACCTCGCTCCCGTCGCGCACAATAGACCAGCCATTGGCATTCGCGCATTCAGTGTCGCATGTCCACGTTGGGATGTTCTCGTCCTCCGATCCGAGAATGAATCTTTCTTTGGGTTTTCGCAATTGGGTTTTGGAGTTCAACATGGCTCCCGCTGCATAAATATCGACCAGCGGCGGGCGCGCGCGTTGGCGATTGGCATTTGTGCATTTAGCGTCGCATATCCGCATGAAGATGCCCCCGTCTTCCGATCCGAGAATGATTTTTTACATTGGGTTTTCGCCATTGGGTCGTGGGGTTCAAGATGGTACTCGCCGCGTAAAAATCGATCAGTGGCATGCCGCCGCGCGCACTTGCGCGCGCGTTGGCCATTGGCATTCGCGCATTCGTTGTCGAATGTCCACATGGGGATGTTCCTGTCTTCCGATCAGAGAACGATGTTTTACATTTGGTTTTCGCCATGGGGTTTTTGAAGTTCAACATCGCTCCCGGCATGCCGCCGCCGCGCGCGCTGGCGATTGGCAGTTTGCACTCCGCGTTGCATATCCACATTGCGATATTCCCGTTATTCGGTCCGGGAATGAATGTTTACTTTGGGTTCTCGCCGTTGGGTTTTGGAGATATACATCGCACCCGCGATACATAAAAATCATCGGCGGAACGCCGCCGCCGCGCGCGCGCGCGAGTCGGCGATCGGCATGCGCGCATTCAGTGTCGTATATCCACATTCGGATGTTCCCGTTTTCCGATCAGAGAGTGAATGTTTACATTTGGTTTTCGCCATTGGGTGTTTGAGTTCGACATGGCTCCCGTTGTTTAAAATCTATCATCGGCGTGCCACAGCCGCGCGCGAGCAATTTCGCCATGTTGCATGATTATATATTATTATATATATAAATATATATTATGTATATATATATATATATATATCTATATATATATTATATATGTCAGCGGCATGCCGCCGCGCCGCGCGCGCGACATGTTCGCGCGCAGCGTTGTATATCCACATGGGGATGATGTCCGCGTCTTCCAATCCGAGAATGAATGTTTACATTGGGCTTT